AGCAAAGGACTTGTCATTGACAGCCCACAGATACGGGGTCGCGAACTGGAGGAATTCTCACGTAAATTTAATCTGCTCACAGAGACGGAACGCAAGCAATCGCTCGTGATTGATAGCACCGGCTTCATTTCGGTGCTCAATCAGTGCGTGCAGTGTGTGGGTTGTCGGCGACGGGTGGAGCGTTTGTTTTACCAGCTAGCTGAATCTGGACATAAAACGGTTGATCCGCTTGAGCTGCGCAACAATTGCACCCTGGGCATAACGGAGGAGAAATTAAAAACGCCCCAAGCACTGGGCACGCTGCTATATCGGCATCACGAGGTGCTCAACAATCTGCTCGATAATAAGCTACGCAACAAGACGCGCTGTGTGCTGCATTCGTTAGACACGTTCCGTGCCAAACCTTTTTCGGAAACCTGGCGGGAAGTGTGGTCCGCGATGAAGAGCACTTGCCGCACGGAGGTGACCATCATTGAGACGAAGGAATTGCAGGAAGTGCTCGACAAGTATCTGAAGAAGCACAAGTTTTGTGCCGGCTGTCGCACAAAGGTAAATAACCAACCACACAATCAGGGTTATCATACCATAATATAATTATTCTAATACAGATCGAGCGTGCCTATAAAATACTCATTGGCGAGATATCCACCAAGGAGAAGGGCTATGCGGCACAGCTGTACGCGCACATCCGCAAATGTGTGCCCGACGAGCACATACATGTGAGCACGAATAAAATTGAGTTCCTTGATGCGCTGATCAAGCGTGCTGAGCCGGAGGTGAATGGAAGCTACTCGAAGCTGCGCGAACGCCATGCGAAAACGTTGGAAATCGCCCAGGAGGAGGTGCTCACATGCGTTGGCATGATCATGTACGAGCGCTTGCGCCGCATTTATGTTAGTCTGCGTGAGGAGGAGCGCGCCTGCCAAGTGCTGGCCGCTGTGGGCGTACATGCGCTCTGTCGCAGCTTTCATGAGCGTGTGGAGCAGAAGCAGGGCATTAGCAACTTGGAGCTGCTCTATCAGGAGATCAGTCGGGCAGAGAAGGCCAAGGAGCTGAAGCGTGAGCAAAAGAAGCTCAAGAAGAAGAAGAAGAAGGATGAGAAGAAGAACATGCATCGTCTGTGTGAGAACGATAACAATGCGAACGACGCTGCCGAAACGGACTGCGAGGAAGAGGATGGCGTAAACGGTGAGGCTGAGGCAAACACTGAACCGACTGTGGATGCTACTGTAGATGATGCCGTCGACGATGGCATTGTTATGGTCTGTGCTGACGCTGACGCTGATGTAGATGCCGATGCTGATGCAGAACCAGAGCCAAAGCCGCCGACGCCAAGTGAGAAACCAACGAAATCGAAATCGAAGAAGCAACCGAAGAAAAAGAAGCAAAAGTCTGCTAGCAAAAAACATAAAAAGAAGTTGTGTGTTGATGAGCACCTGGATGCGGTGGCCAAGGCTACAAAATGCAACGACTGTTTAGCACCCATGCCGAATTGTCCCTGCGAGCAGGATGTGCGCGACTCTGGCTATGGCAGCGATCCACACGCATCGCATGCCAATTCGCGCATCTCCAGTGCAGTCTCATCGCTGGAAGGCTCCGAAGTCTCCTGCTCGGACGGACTGTGCAATCATCATAATTACGACATGATGGCGGAAGAAGAAGAGGAGGAATCCGTTGTTGATGTTACGGCACCCAACAGTTATGTCTCCGATTCGGTCTATGGTCAGCAGACGCAATCGGACGATAAGTTCTCATTGCTGCAGATGTTGGTTAGTAGCCACGATCATGCAATGACTCCAAACTCGTTTATAATTCCCGATTTGTTCACATTCAATTCCAGGACTTTTTCGACGATGAGGACGATGAGAACTGCTGTTACATTCCCCAAGAGGTGGTGCTGGCCTATCAATACCAGCGCGAGCAAGTACAGCGTCAACGTGAGCAGCTGCGCGCCACATTGCGTCGGAATTTCGAGCGCATGTGTCTGCAGCATGGTGTGCCCGTAGGAGGAGCACCCATCAATGCCACCTCAACTGGCCATTAAAACCTGCATTAAACCGTTGTAGTTATTTAGCCGCGCGACGCGGCGCTTGCATTCAAAATACATACATATAATTTTTTTTGTTTTTTGAAATAAATGAAGTATAAAGTTATGCTTATCAATATGTTAAAAATATATATATGTATATGTATAAGTGTTTGTGTATTGTTTAGCTGTTGCGGCAATCCTCGTGGAACGGCTCTAATGTGCGCAAGTCCCTCCACGTTGGCGGCAAGCCGTTCGCAATGTATTTGCCGCAACGCTTGCAGGGCTCCAAGAAGAGCTTGATGTGACTGTTGAGCCAGGTTACGTAGCTCTTCACGGCCAGATCGGGTAACGTGGGCGAGAAGAAGTGCAGCATGGCCGAATGGGCGTGCTCCTGCACCTTGCGAAACACCTCATAGCGCGACTCTGCCCACAGATCGTCGTGCTCCAGCGTCTCGTCATAACCCTTGATGGTCACCCATTCGATGAGCACGCCCTTAAAGACAATCGCTGCCTTGAGCACGTTGCTGATGGTGACTATGGCCACAGCATTGGAGCCAAACGGATGAAATACTTTATACGTTGTGTGCGGCGGATGATTAATGTCACTCAGCAACTTATCAATGTGACTAAGCAAAAAAGAAGATGCGTGTAAGCCAAAGTAAGTTATGTTAATTTTAAGTCACTCACTCCGGATCGTTGTTGAAGGAGGAGAAGGGCAATCGCTGGCGCTTCTGCGAGCAATAGTTGTAGGAGCGACGTAGCGTGTTCTGATTGAGGTTGTTGAACGCCAACATGCTATGATCGTGCACCTTATCGATCCACTTGTAGCTGTTCACCAGCTGCGGATAAAGCGCCTGACGCTCCTGCGTCGTTTCCTGGGCAAGAAATGTGGTGTTACCCAAGTGGTAGGCTGACGGCGGCACCTGGAGCCCATTAACAAGCTGCTCCAAGTCACTGTTAGTATTAAAACACGATCAAATAGGAGTAAAAAAATTTACATTTGCATCTACTCACCGTATTTGCGAGTTGAGGGCTGTAAATCTCTCCTGAAAATCGTGCACAAATTTGTTGCGGCTTTCCTCGATAGCTTCGCCATCGGTGCCATCGGCCAAGTGCTCAAAGCACTGACGGACACTTGAACGTAAGTTCTTAACAGCTGTTAAAGTCTGATTTAATTTATCCATTTGCATTCGAGCAACAAAAATTTGTTATTCTTTTGGAAAATAAAAGTTGTTTATATGCCGATAAAACATCATCTAGTGCCTATCGGTTTGCCGCCACAATTGATGACCCGATACACAGCTGGCAATGCTGCATTCTGCATGTTGGCATTCGCGTAGTCACAATACTCGGTCACATTATACACCATTCAATTCAGTAGAAATTTTGTGTTTGTGTCGCTCTCATTGGTTTAAATAAGCCGTCAATAATGGGCAATAAATCTTCGCTGTTTCTACGGCACGAGGAAATAGCACAGATACAAAATGAAACTGGCTGTAAGTATATAGAATAGCACAACAATAGCTAGTAACCAAACTAAGCTAAGATAACTAACGTAACCTTGGACTTGATAACCCTCCAGCTGTAAATTTCCCAAAATTTCAATTCAAAACAAATACGCAGTTGCTAAAAGCTTTACATTGTGTTCAGATACTTTGCACTTAAGTGGCGAAACTAATTATAGCCTTTCCTCGTCGCTGCAATTATTTGCCATAGTCCAAAATCAATTAGCATATGAACTCTACCCACACCAGTTGGCAGAGAGACGAGAGAGAGCCATCCAGACTAGAGTGTGATTGAACGTGTAACTGTTCTTCTTGAATGCACTCAAAAGGGCTTCATGCATTTATGTAAGATGGTATCATAAATTCAGTTTATGACGTCACTGGAGCAAAGGCTATTTACGCGCTGCCTTTTGATGTTTCCCCTCCAACCTATACACAAGCAAGCGAATGTATGATGTATGCATGTGTTTATCAGTTGTTCTAGTAGGTGTAATTCGTGTGTGATAAGGCCCTCGGCTATAACGGTATATATCCAACGAGTGTTCATATCTCTGATAATGGCTGTTGTCACTCTACATTTCTTATCAATCGACTGGACTCCAACCTCTTACGTCTTCTTTGCCCTCCACTCTTTGCAGTTACACCCAATCAGATTGAGCGCCTTTACTCGCGCTTCACCTCGCTGGATCGCAATGACTGCGGCACGCTCTCCCGCGAGGATCTGATGCGCATACCCGAGCTGGCAATCAATCCGCTCTGCGAGCGCATCGTGCACTCTTTCTTCGCCGAGAGCTCCGACGATCGGGTGAACTTTCGCCAGTTCATGAATGTGTTGGCCCACTTCCGACCGCTGCGGGACAACAAGCAGAGCAAGCTGAACAGCCGTGAGGAGAAGCTAAAGTTCGCCTTCAAGATGTACGACCTGGACGACGATGGTGTCATCAGCCGGGACGAGCTGCTCTCGATCCTCCACATGATGGTCGGCGCGAACATCAGTCAAGATCAATTGGTCAGCATTGCAGAGCGCACAATTCTGGAGGCGGATCTGTGCTGTCAGGGCAAGATCTCGTTCGAGGATTTCTGCAAGGCGCTGGAACGGACCGATGTCGACCAGAAGATGTCCATTCGATTCCTCAACTAGTGCCGCAGCACAAGCAGCGAAACAAAATTTAAAATGTCTTAGTCACTGTGAACCAAATAGTGTTTAGTCCAATTAATATATATACACGCATATATATATAGATAGGCGTATATATATATGTGGGTATATATCAAGTCCGAGGCATATTCAATTGTATTAGTAACTTATACACTATGATTATTGTTGATTGCTTTTACGCTAGTTAATTTCATTCCGCTCTAAAGTGAAATTCATGCATTTGTTTAACGGTCAGCCTAAAATATTTATTAACTCGAGTTTTGGTTTTTTATTAGTTAGTTCTGAGCTTGAAATAAAAACGTGTAAATATGTATGAATGTGGTTTATTGTAGTAGTGGTCTAACCAGGCGGTAACTGCACAAATAGATGTGGTTAAAATATATAATATATATGTATATAACTAATAAGTCTAGCCAGGATCCATGCCAGGTGCTATCTATGTGGTCGAGGAGACGGCCAATTTCTTCAGATGCTCCATGAACAGCTGCAGCGAGACATCATCCGTGAGCACGGGAGCGCCGCCATCCTGTTGAAGAGGATTCAAATGGGAGTTAGCAGAAGGAATTTTCGAATTTGGATTATCTAAAAAGTGGTTTTCGCTGCAGCAGCGCCAACACCAAAAGCGGAGCAGAGAGTTGTAGAAGAAGCAAAGCAACTTTGAAACCAAACCCAAGAGGAACTTATATTTAACCAAAGAGGAAAAACAAAATAGAACTGTTTGTGTTTTACTACCGTCGTCTGACCGATTGGCGCCTGCGAGTGACAACAACAAGAAGAACAACAACGAGGGGAGAAGAAGGAGCAAAAGGCAGTTGAGCGGACACAATGAGAAAAGTAAAACAAAAACGAAAACGTAATGTTTCAATAGATTAAAAATCAATAATATGCATGGATCCCAGTTAATGGACGTACCTGGCCATAGGCATACATGTTGTTATGCGTCTGCGAGGGATTGACTTTGGAGAGCAGGAAGCGGGCCTGCGAGCCGCCATGCTCGGTGTCAATGTAACGGGGCATGGGGAAACGCGTCTGCAGAATCTCCTGGGCATCGTCAACTGGCGCCTGCAGCAGCTGCTTGAAGTTCTCATACTCGGGCATATCCTGATATTTGAGCGCACGCCATTGGGCAATCGTCTCGCCGTGATAGATGAGTATCTGGAAGAATGTGTCCATCAGCAGTATGCGATCCGCTTGAATCGAAGCGGTATCTAGCAGCACCGGCTCCGGCGGCCCATTAAACGAATAGCTATAAAGAATGGGCTGTATCATGATCAAGGACTGTGTGAGGTCCTCGCGCATTAGCATGTGTCGATAGAATGTGGTCTCATCGGGCGAATTGTTGAAGACCTGCAGGAACTGCGAACGGCGCAAATGGTACATGAACTGCGGAAAGAGGCTGAACGTGGGCGACAGACGGAAACTGTTCGGATCATCCTTGGAATACTCGCCAAACTTCTGGCACTGCAAGAGAGAAGTCGAAGTGGCTATTGAGAATTGATAATGGACATATTATTGACACGGATTTACCAAGCGAATCAGCTGGCGATCCACCCAGCGCAAGATGTCCGGCCCCTCGTCTGTTTCGGCGCGGTAGACAACCATGCGTGCCATCAGCACCGCAGCCGCCTCCTGATCGAAGCCTGCGCTGATGTGCTGCACATTGGTGTTGGCATCCGCCCAGCTTGAAGACAGTAAATAAGAATTAGTTTTATATAGCGAAGGTATGTATGGCTGGGAGCTCTCACTTTCTGGCCAGTGTGGTGACGCGTATGCGCCGCTGACCGCTTGGATGCTGGTATTGGGTGATGAACTGTATGCAGCCGCGTCCGCCTTGTGGTATGGGCGCCGCATGCTGGTTGACCACCTCGAAGAAGAAGGCGACAGTGGAGCTGGGATTGAATGCACACAATTTCCATTGCACTGTATTGCCCATGCCGATCTCCACATCCGACACCGACGGGCTCTTCACATTCAGCGACACACACGAGCCAATCCCGCCAGAGATTTTCAGCTCGCGCGAGCACTTCACCTCGAGCGTGGCATTGAATGCCATCTTTAGATCGTTTCGCGAATCGCGCGCAAACACGCGCTGGAATGTCTGCTTGAAGAGCGACGAATTGAATGAGTCGCCCATGACCATGTGACCGCCTGTGGAGTTGCACAGCTGTTTCATCTCCATGAGGCCGGTCTGGTCGAGCGCGCACGAGTATATATCGATGCCATGGCCATTGGTAGCCGCCCGCAAGGCCAGGGCATCGTAATGTTTGATCGCTTTCTTCATATATTTGGCATTGTCCTTGTGTATGTCATGATGGGAACGTATGGGATGCTTGAGTTCATCGTCAACCACTTGGCCGGGGCCCTGGGAGCAAGGGCCACCCACAAAGGTCATGATCCGACCGCCCGTATTCGGGTACGTGCACTCCAGCAGACCAACCGCAATCGAAAGTGCGGCGCCTGTGGAGCGCAGATAGCGCTTGCCCTGCGGCACCGGCCAAGGGTCGCGTTGCAATTCGCTCAGCAGATCACCCAGTGCCGTGTCGCACTGGCTGATCGGCTGCAGAAAGCGATGAGCGGGTGGCAAATGTTGTCCGGCCCCCCCTACGCCCGGCGCATTTGGCATCTGACCCGGCTGACCTGGTTGCTGCTGCTGCTGATGTGGCGTYGGTGCCACCCCACCGCGTCCAATGCCCAGCATATCGTGGACTTGCTTGGCCGTCAGATCCTTGGTGCCTCGGAACACATAGCTCTTGGAGCAGCCATCAGTGCCCAGCTCGTGCACCTGAATCATCTTGCCGAAGGTAATGAGGCCCACGAGAGCATTGGGCGGCAGTAAGCTCAGCGACATTTGCAGTGAGTCCTTCAGAGCGTCCAGCTCCTCCTCATCCATGCAAGTATCTACCAGGAATATAAATACTGGCGGCATTGTGGCCGCCCTGGCGATGGTGTATTCAATGGTGCTGAAGCCAGGTATCAGCTCGGCGGGCTGATGTTGCTCCGATATGGCTGCATATTGTGGAGGAAACTGAAATGGCACACGTTAGGCTACAGACCGGAAAGTCCAAGTGAAATACTCACGGGGTTGCGTTGAAAGCAAAAGTTGCACACCCAAAGCTTGGCACGATAGTCAACTTGGCACAATGGATTCAATATGGCGCGGCAATTGCTGCGCGTGCACAGCACCGGCTCATATTGTATCGGTGGCAAGTCGGGACGCTCCTTGATGGGTTGATAGAGACACGCAAGCGGGACGACCAGGCGGCTGGCATCGATGCGACTTGATGGCCAAACATTCCATGTAAGGCGTACGCCGTCACGATCTTCGTTTTGCTGGATGAACTCCTCATAGGTAGTCATCGTTTTGATATTCTTTTTTCGACGCTTTCACTTCGATTAATAACTTAAAATTAATTGTAACACAAGCAAGTCTTATTGGAAAAATCGTTTGGCCAGGCCACGTCACAGATTTGACAGTTGGTTGCATAGCAGGCAGCTTGTCAACGTTGACAAACACAGCAAATGGGGCATGCAAACAATAACAAATTTGTTTTGGTAAATATATTTTGATGAATCCAGAAAATAGCTACAGTAGCATGCGTAATTTATTTTAATTCATTAAATTGCAACATATATAGATTTATTGTATAATTTATTTATTTAAATATGCTCTCGGAATATGCAAACAAGTTAGCAGCCCTATTTTTAAATGCAGCCCTGATGCAGCTGTTTACTCGTCGCTGTCATAGTGTGCGTGTGTGTGTGTATTTTTTTAGAGTTGTTTCTAAGATGGCGACGAAAAAAACGCGTCTTATGTGAATGCAAATGCAATCATAACAACTTAAATTTTATGCTAATAAATGTGCGCAAATCTGAAACAAAACTATTGAACAACAGTGCTGAATAAGTGCGGAATATTTTACATGTGAAATTTGGTGCGAAAGTTTTGTGAAAATGGCCACAAATATGTATCGAGTCGGAGGTGAGAAAATTTTTTTCCATACTCGCTTTTCTATCATCTTTCGTTATCGGCGCCGTCTCACTGTTTCGCCTGGTCGTTTTATGTGCGTATGATTGTGTGTGTGTGTGTGTGTGTGTATGAGACTCCCGAATTAAGGAAATAATGAAAGTGCATTTAATTATCAAGTATTACCAAATGTCCAAGCACCAATATCTTCAATCTCCTGTTATCAATGACAATGATGATGATGTGAAATGCGTTTTCACATATGCCTTGAAATTGTGTCGAATCGCCGACGCGAGTTTTAACAACGTAGACGATTTTTCAACACCAACGAAGCGGCAATGGAACATCGAGTAACCGGCCATGGAGAGAGGGGTTATGTGTAGTAGTATGACAACCGAATTGTCGCAGCTGCAGCAAGTGTTTTTAGTACATGTTTCTGTTGCCCCGATAAGCATTAGCACTGATATATGTGTGTGTATGTGGTAATGTGTGTGTGTGTAAGCTTGTGCTTTAGGGTTGGGGTTACTGATGAAATGAAATTGCATTGACAAATCCGCCTGCCGATCAGCATGTGTGTATGTATATGAGAGTATGAGTGTGTGAGTAATAGTTCTTGCGTGTGTGCTGTGCAATTGAAAGTATATTTTGTGATTTTTACGTGTCTCTTGCTTTGTTTTTGCTATTGGCATCGTCGTGTTTTCTTATGCTAATGAGTTTGCAATTTTTCTTTGGCCCAGCATCTCACGCTCTGAGTGAATTTTCCCTTTTTTTTGTTGTACCTAATTTACGCACTCATTTTGGTAGCTCGCTCGTTTGCTTGCTCGCTTGTCGATGACGTTATTGTTGTCTTCACCTGCCTATGATATAGAACAATGGTTGTTCAGCTCGACCAAATCAAATGCAAATGAACTGTAAATAGGAAAATGCAAATATCTAATTAAAGCAATCAAAATAAATAATAAAAATACAACAAAAATAAATAAATAAGAAAACCCAGCACATGAATAAATTACAAAATTTTACGGCATTTTCATATAATGTTTCAGTATGGGTGTGTATGTTGGTCTCGCAGTGCACGCGTTGGCTTCGAATTTGTCTCCATCAGCGCTTTTTGTTAGTCACTTTTAATAGCCACACGCACACATACATAGGCATACGCACACACACGTATACACAGCAGCCCAAATGTCGTCGCAGGCTATGGCGACACTTTCTTTTTCATCTCTTTTTATATCAGCCAAATGCAAAAGATACATTTTCCTTTTATAATATGCCTGGCGTGTTTTGCCGCTTGATCGCTGCTCTTTTTTCCTTTTCTTTTGTGTCATTTTCTCTCTTCTATCGGCTTTCGTTGCTTCTGCTGCTGCTGCCGCTGCTGTTGCCGTGGTCAAAACCCAAGCAACGGTTTCTGCGACAGGTTCCGCACCGTCGCTCTATGCATGTTTGTGTATATGTGTGTGTGTGTATTCAGCCCCTTGCCTCTGTCCACGGACATCGTTGTTGTTTCTGTTGCGCGAGCTGAATGGATGGATGGATGCCCACATTTGTATTTAATTGAGCAATGCGCATACTTTTTCAGTGTACTGTGGCCGTAATTAAACGGCGTGTCCACTGCCAGCAAGTACTGCTATAAATTGTAAACTTCAAGCAGAAGATTGTTAACGGAACCGACAGGAAAGAGTTTACCAAAACACTTGAGAAAATGGGATTATCGATGCTATAAATTATTAATTGCCCATAATTAAGTGTTAGCACAATAAAAGAGAGGTGACCTAAAGCTCTTGCTGTATTTGTTATTGTTATCATCGATAAATGAATACTTTATGTAAACAAACCATTTATCGATTGTTAAGTGTGCTAATAAACTCGCACAGTAGCTAAATAATTATATATGTATATATGTATAACAAAAACTATAAATAGAATGATTAGGGCCATTTTTAATTTTTGACGCTTTTGAATACATTTGTATATATGTATGAATATATTTGAGCACTTTAATTAATTTTTGATATTATATTATGTATGTATTAAAATTAATAAATTTAAATTTCTTAATTCTTGCATATAATATATACTTTTATATATTTAATTGAATTGACTACCATTCAGGAATATATGATATGGTAATTAACTTGAGAGTCAAACGTGGCACATCACACGTATTTAATATCATTAAATACTTTAGTCGTGGGCTCGTTCGTTTAGTCACAGATAACCCAAATTATGCTCATCTCTAATTCCTGACGTCTGCCTGTATTCATTTGTTTTTTTCCTTGCGTGTGTATAGGTATGTGTGTGTTTTTGTGTGACTTCATACAGACGTTTGTATGTGTGCATGTATGATGAGACTGTATGGGTGCAAGAGTGTATGTTTGAATGCTGCGTTTTACCTGATGTTGGCTTCATTGGACGTTTGGGCTTCAATTTCGTTTTCCTAATGAATGATTTGCTGCCCCCTCTCATTGGAGGCCGTTGAGCCTGTAATTATGTTTCCAGCAACTGCATATTTAAATTTTTTGAACCGTAAGTGAAATTCAATAATCCCAATGGTTGATTTTTGCAGACTACGTCTACGTTGAGACAACGCCGAATAGTCCCTACCTGATACGTCGCATCGAGGAGTTGAATAAAAACCAAACCGGCAATGTGGAAGCGAAGGTCATGTGCTTCTACCGGCGTCGTGATCTGCCCAACCCGCTTGTACAGCTGGCCGATAAGCATCAACGTAAGTACGGCAAGGCAAATATACGTATGTATATACATATAAATATGTATGTATGTATAGAAATGTATAAGTTTTTGGTCAGCTAAGTGAGGTTATGTTATGCGACGAGTCGCCGTCGTGGCCTACAAATAAGTCAGAAAGCCCCATCCATACAGATCCTAAGCCCATTTTTCACCACAAAAACCAAAGTTCGCTTGAAGACGGAAATACACCATGCGCCGCAACCAAAACCGAGCCGAAGCTGCTGCACGCCCACACACCTCAGTCAAATACCACCCGCCTCCTTTTTCACTAGCGCCCGGCATATGCCCAATGTGTGCAATGTGTCAAAGCGGAGCCCACCCAACACGTACACACACACTCACACATACTAACACACACCCACTTAGCAGCAGCAGCAGCAGCAGCAGGAGCGACAACAACAACAACAATAATGAAAGCCAACATCAAGAGCAACAAGAACCGCAATGACAACAACTGTAAAGCATACAGCCAAAGCAAAGAGTAAACGGAATCCGAGCATCCGTAGCAACAACAACAACAGCACATAAACATAATGTGTGTAGAGCTGCACTGTACTTCGATGTTGTTGCCGTTTTTGGTTGCCTCAATACTAGGCATCAGCAGCAGCAGTAGCAATGGTAGGTAGACTTGCTGTCTACCTCTGTGCCTCTCTCTCTAGGTGTATATGCGAGTGTGCACGAAAATTTTCATGAGTCCTGGCGCTGCAGGAGCATCGAAGGAGCCGCGCTTTGCATTTTATGTATACATACACACACTCACCCACTGTGCCAGCCCAACAACAACTAGCAGCTATCTACATGGACAGCGCCATTTGCTGTATCTTTCTACCAAAAAGTATACATACACACACACACACACACCGAGAGAGATATCCATGCACACACACATACACCACCCCCAATCGGTGGGGTTGGTTGTGGCCCACACGAATTCGATACGTGACCCAACGAAAATGCGTTTTTCCAACACAGCCTTCCATACGCCACCCACCGCCCACCGCCCACAGCCCACAGCTCACATCCCGCTACGCAACATTTCGTCGACAATGCCCATTAACAGTAACAGCCCCTTTGTTGCCCGCCCCAGTTTTCAATAATGCTTCGAATGTTTTTCAACGGCTCCTTTTTCGGAGGTGCTGCTGCGACTGCCACTGCGAATGCGGCAGCGGTGCGGCGTGCGCTGTCAATTTTGCAGCCCAGCTGCTAATCACTTATTACAAATTAGCACAGCAACAGACAACATTCGACTAAGGAACACATATAGTCTATCAGCCGTGTCATGAAACAAATGAAAAGAAAAAAGTAATAATCAGAAAGCTCAAAACTGGCCACGACAACGTTTCAAGTTGAAAAGAAAGAAAAAAAAAGTTCCGTTTTATGACTGGCAATGACGAAGCTGAAATACCCTAAGTTCCATAATTCCATTTTCGTGCGAAAAATATAAAATACAACTTCAAGACGAGCACAAAAAATAAAAGATATAAAAAAAGGTTAAACCTTTATTCAGAAATTTCAGTAATTTATTCAGTAGGATTCCACTTAAATATACCTACATACATCAAAGCCTTGAGTCAGTATCCAATATTTACCATAATACCAATTTACCATAATACCTAATCCAAATTATATGAATTGCAATATT